TTTCTTCACCTTCTTATGGGCATTGGCGGCAGCGGACAACTCGATCACACTCACGCTGCCGCTGCGGTCAAGATCCCACTCCTTCATCACGTCCTGGTACATGGCAGCTTATGGGCTGTTAACAGACCCTAGCATGCAAACACTACATGATACGGGCCAGCGGGCCAACTTTTATGGAGAGTGCGAATTGTGCCCAAGACTTGGTGAGTCCTGGACGCAGTCCGGCATGTGCCCGTAGCTGACCTCTCCGGCATTGTCTGATTTCTCCTTGACCAAGCGCTGCAGCAACATGAGGCCTTTCTCAGCCTCCGTATGTGACATGTGGCCCTTAGAACCAAAGACCGCTTTCATGGTGCCGAACATCTTCAAGGCATCACGAATGTTGACATCAGACAAACATCCGTCGTCATCCGCATCGATGACTTTCAGCAAATTCCGCAAGCTCTCGGGCACATTCAATGTGTCAACGTCCACCACGCTCCCATCCGCATTCTTGATGAGGACCTGCAGCGGAGACCGGACACGTAAGGACTGTGTGAAACTGCTTCCCCTGCTGAAACATATGGGAACTTCGGAAAATGAGGACACCCTGCGAACCCGAATCCCTACGTAGGTGCGAAGGTTGTTGAAGAAAGCTCCCACATTGCTGTAAGGACACCTTTGCCGGCGGCCCTGCTTGACCTGCTGCAGGTGCGGGCGTCGGCGCGACAGGCTCCTTATTGATCCCCAGCGTCACCTCATCGAACCAAGGATCATACTCGTCATCATTGGCACCCGTCGATGCCGATGCCATCTTAAAACCGATGAAGCTCGCGAAGGCAATCGGTTTAAAAAGAGCTCTTATTGGGCCGAAACACGCTGGAGAGACCGGACACTTGTCAGCTCCACGGAGTTTCTCATGGATGCTACAGACGCTTTCAGGCTCTGCGACATTTCCACTGCACTTTCAGATCAACACGTGGATGCACACTGGTGGTGGGACTCTTCTCGCAAGCCCCCGTGAGCCTTTTCGTGTCCACACGCACGGATCGCAGGAATGGAACAAGTGTCGTTCAACATGCATGCTCGGACAGTGTCGAAGCACTCGCGAAAGGGACGAGGCTGTGAATTTTTCTCACATCTCGGTATGTCCTTGGCATCTAAGTACTCTAAGGGTGTCCCTTTGTGATGCTTCGTGGCATCGCTCAATCTGCTCATGTTCAGCCTGGCGCCAGGCAAGTCCAAGAAATTCAGAACCGTTTGAAAGGAATCCTGCTGTGCCCGACTCAAGGTTTCGTAAGGGATCCACAGTGATGGTAACCCGGCATCCAGGACATTCTGGTAGGCTTTTCGGAAGTCTCGAGAAACTCTCGACCAGATCTTATCCTCTCTTCGAAAATCCACTCTTTTTTTCTCGGCCTGCTTGCCGGGAGCAACCATCATAGCTGAAGAGGCCAATGCATGAGCCACAGCGTTGGTCCTTTCCAAGAAGATGATTCGCACGCAGCGCTCCTTCAATGCCGCCACGAACTCTGCCTTTCCCAGCATCTGCGGCCAGCCATCACACCAGTGCCATGTGAACCCCACTGCAGTATGGCTGGAGAACAGCTTTGTGATCTCCAAATTGTCGTACCGTGTCCGAAGACCCTCGTCTGTCTTGCATGACGTCTCGTCTTTCTTGCATGACGAGTTGAACTGAAAGCAGGCGGTCATCCTTTTGTCGTACACTTCCAGGCCCCAGTACATATCCAACAGCCTCAGAAACTGCGGCCAATTTTCGAGCTGCTGATCGTGGAAATAAGCTCGTCTCTCTTCCACGCAAGACATATTGCTTCCTGAGATGTGCTGATGCACTGACGGTACGCTTAGATGCAAATGTGTATGCCAGACACGATCCCGCAAAATCTTCCAGCAGCCACATAGATCTCCTGTAATGAGAAACAAACTGAGTCCAGCCATTTCAGTGACACTGCCTGCCTCACTCACCCATCCGCTCGCTGGCTAACCCACCCTCCCTCTCTCAACATACAGGCTTCATCAGCACCGCTTGCAATGTACTTGTGACCCTCCTGTCACCGCGAGCCCGCAACGTCTGACCACAGAAAAAGTCAAGCTCCAGGTAATACGGTAACACCCTCAAACCCCCGACAACATAAGATTCAGTACGGGTATAACATATCGTTGAATTTGCTTGTTTGCTGCCGGCCCTTGCACTGCTCTGTAGCCCCAACAGGCACGGGGCAGCTTCTGTACTACACACGCATTTGAACTTCAACACGCGCTCTTCTTGAAGTAGGGGTCCCCACAGAGCCTACTTGCCCTGGGATCGGTTGGGCATCCCCCTGGCCCCCCCACACGCAAGGGGACCGTACAGCTGCCCATCCGCAGCGGGCGGAGGCTCGGGCTGTGCACGAAACCGAAGCCTGTACACAGATTTGCGGCTCTCAGGTGTCTTCTTCCCTTTCCACTCTCCCGTCGCTTCCTTCCGGGAACAGCATATGGCGGCAGATTGGATACAACCCCTGAGGGAAAGCTGGCCATGAGAGGCAATTCTTGCCGGGAGGATTAGGCTCGAAGCTCCTGTCCCCTGGCAAAGTTCGGCAAGGCGCACCTTACACGCTTCCACGACATCGGCCTTAGGGTCTCTCGCCTTTCTAAGCAAGATACTCACACCGGCAGTGAGAGACCAAAAAAATCACTCTCATCGCACGAGAGCAAAGCTGAGACTTGTCTGTTGCAACGCAGGTTTTCAATGCTTACACCGCTCAATCTCCTTCTTCGGGAACTCGGGAGACCAATCTGCACCGAATGCTTTCCCCCATTCCTGCAAGTGTGCCTTCATGCTCTGCTCTTACACAAACCCCAAACCCTAAATCCTGCAAGCCCCAAACGCTAGGTGCTACACCAAGCGGCTCCCATGTATGGACACGTTGTGAAGATACTGGTGCCACTTCGGCCACAGCGTGATAAGCAGCTCGCCATGATGTAGCACCTCTGCGTTTTACAGGGCCAGTTTAAAGGGTTTTATACCTCTATACTGACGGGTTGCAGGCTGTGGTAACGGTTGATACAGGGATTCTATATACATATATGCATTTGTACACATACATACATACACATATATATATATATGTATATATATATATACACATATATACACATAAATACTGTCCTAAGGTTATCAGCATATAAGGCTCGGGGTTTAGTAAGGGTATGGCGATCGGTGGCCACAGCAGGGCTGAGCCGACGAAGTAAAGCCGAAGCCCAAACCTCCTTAGTGCTTGGGATTTGAGCATAGGCTGTAGGGACCGAGGATCTTAAATCGGGTCCCTTTCCTCCGAGACTCATGAGTTCGTAAGGGACCTGGCCTCGGGCACGTCATTCAATACCGCTTGCAACCAGGTGGTGCCACTGTGCTGAATGGAAACGACCTCGGGACTCACAACTAAGGGATGGATGTGGGCGTTTGTGAAACTTTCAGATCTCCCTGTCAGAGCCTCCTGATGACCGGTGATATTACTATCCAGAGGTCTATCCGGGATTCCGTATCTGCGGAACCTCACCTGTCTGAGTCTCAACACTTCGTGTCTGTGAGCAAGTGGGCCTGTCTCGCTAAAGCCTGAACACTGCCTTGACATCTCCACAAACCTGTCAGCTGAGCAAGCGGCGATGAAGGGCCGGGGCCGCGCAAAGCAGCGCGCACTTTCAGAGAAGCGTGCATCGCATAAACGAAGATCGCGCTGTAGGAGCAAATCTACCTCAGCTCAAGGTCGGACTGTCGCCGCTCTGTCAGAGCTATCCGATAGCTGTCTCCGCATGTTGCTCGGGATGACTACAGCTGTCGAAATCTCTTCACACATCCATCCGGCGGGAAGGAACTGCATGCAACGACAGACCAGCACACCTGCAAATGTCACAGCAGCACCAAGTGCAGGCGGGATTGCAGCGCCCCCCAGCTGCGGCAAAGTCCGCAAAGACACTATTCCATCACCTGCACCACTTAAGAAGCTCCGGTACTCCACCAATTCACCACAGCATCACGGCACACAAGAACAATTATCGGCCGTTCCCCAAAATGGGTGAACAACGCCATCTGCCGAGGTACACAATGGATTGAACAACTGCCACTTGCTCGTCAGCAGAATGAAAGGCGCGATCAGCAAAATCAAAATAATTGCTCTCTTGTAGGTGCATGCATCCATCACGGCACAGACCAGCAATCGATACGGGGTTTAGGGATTGGGGTTTCTGGATTAGGTTTCGAATCTGCAGCCACATGACATGACATACATTAAAAACATACGACTGTTTCCTCGTGGAGACATCGGGCATGCTTGACCACAGTGCAAGTAGAGTTTGAATAGCGCAACAAGCAATTGCTCAAAATGCTTACGGAGATCAATTAGGATGCAAGGGTGCTGGGTTAAGGTTTGCTGAGCCGAGAATGTGCCATGACTCGTGACATGCAAAGTCGATGCAAACCTTCAGGATACTGGACGCACGAGTGCCTTCACCCGAACGAGACTTCGTGCTGAATGGGCTTATCCACCTGTCCTGCTGCCTCAATTCAGCGAAACATCAGCACCTTCATGGCTTTCTTCTCGAGTTGCGTGCAGAATCAACCAGACTTGTTGCGTAACCGATGCACAGCTAGCCGAAGCTTCAGGCTCGTTTCAATCTTTTAAGTACAGTTAACTTCTTCATTTGAACCATCATGGAAAGCTTCAACAACTGCTGCTGCTTTGCCTCTACTTTCTTCGCCTTTTCCAGCCCTGCCTTGGGCTAGCCATTGGGCACCCTTCTCAACCGACTGGGTTTTTGGGTTTGTGCGAATTGGTAGATAGGGTTTAGGGGTCCCGGACATCAAGCCTCGGATGAGATTTCAGGCATTGGGTGTACGGCTGTAGGGCCGAAACCCTGAAAGTTCGCAATCTGTTTTTCGCCACTTGCCGGAGTGTCGGCGGGCGCGGCGACCTTGGTACAAAGAGTGCGACCCACAGAAAAACACCGCAGCTGTCAGGTATGGATTTGCAAACAGGGCTTGCAACTCATTTGTAACAGTGTCCTGCCTGAAGCCGAAGGTCCGACTGCGCTTCCTCTTCCTCCACTGCAGAATAACTACCCGAAACAACATCCTCCTACAATTTCTCATTAGCTTGACTGCGGATCGTTTACACTGCGGATCCATTACGCCTGCTACGGTTGGAAATGGTACGCTCGCCTACACAAGACCGGAGCTGTGCGCAATGAGGTCGGTAGCACGGCGCAGTACATGTGCACGCTCTCTGCTCTGCCATGCAAGGGCGGGGAGTGCGATCAGAAGCCACCGAAGACTCGAACACTTCGCTATGTCGGCGTTTGACAGCGTCTGACAGCGAGGAATACGGTACAACACGGTAAAGCGGACTGGGGCCAATACAGCCCGGTCATTGCTCCCAGGCCGAGACCGTGTTCCAAAAGGCTTCTATGGATCGAGCTGGGCTTCGGGAACTGCAAACGAGCTACGGATGCTTCGCGACGCAAGCGCGAAGCGCCCGTGCCAAGTGCTTCTGTCCATGTGATGGAACTCGGATGCATGCGGAACGGCGAACTTTCTTTGGTTTAGAAGCTTAAACTGCAAAGTCAGACTCCTCGGCACCCGAAACATTTGGCCATGTCAGCATGCTACATTCAGGAAGCTCGAGTTTAGGAAATTTGGGGGCCGAAGCGTGCTGCTCTGGACGTGCGGCAGGCGAATCTCGAACAGCCCATCGGTCCTACCTCATCCAGGACAGATCTGCGCCGCCGCAGGAGAGCACCTGCGCCGGGCAGTAGCCTCTCTGTTTAGAGGTTTAGGGTTCAGGGTCTGGGCAACATGTAACTACCTGGGTGAGGCATCGTGGAACTGATGCGCCCAGCACTTTCTCGCAATCTGATGAAGTCATGCAGCCGTTCGGCAACAACTCCAATTTCTTCCAGTGACGGGGCTGGCACAGGACATGTGATCACAAAGGCACTCCGGCTTGGATTAACCTTACACCCTCTTTGGCTTCGGGATCCTCCTGGCAGAGAAAACTATGCTATGGAAACTTTAGCATCGAAGTCTTTCTTGTTGACCAAAGACTGGGATTCACGATCTTCGATGGATTCAGAAAGCTACAGAGCAGGGACACGACAGCACAAACTCACTTTTTGCTGCTGCCATGCGCGCGTCGCACGGAACAACCGAGGATCGGCCACAAAAACTCCGAAATTCATGAGACAAGAAAAGGACTTCCACTTCGCCTCCGATTGCAACTCAACACGAGTGTGTATGCTGAATTTAGGAGTTTCCTTGCTTTGGGCGCTGATCTCGGATCTCACACGGCAGCTGGAACGCTCGATGGGAAAGCTCGTGGATTTAGCAAGCACTAGACTCGCAAGAGAGCCGCGTCCCATGACATGAGGAGGTAGCCTCCTGAAACGGCGGATCCGGCTAGGTACAGTAGATTGCAATGGATCTCTGATGAATTAAGACGTTCCCAATATAGGGCTGTAGGAGAAAGGTCCGAATACCACGACCTAAACTTCGTGGGCCTAGGGCCCCGTGCAGAAGCAAATTTGGCCTAAAGGTCCGAAGCGTTCAGGTGACTTTACTGGCGCGCCATGACCTGCAGGCCTTAAAGCAATGAGCATCGGATCAGCTTAGAGCTCGACCGCATGGGCTGCAGCACGGGCTGTGCGGGCACGGGCCTGTGCGAAGCTGGGACCCAAGAAGCGTTGCTTCGAGCCCTTCTTCACGCCCGTGTCGGTCTGAGACAATTGCGTGTTCGGCTTGCACTGGGAATACCACTCGTTCCCAAAAGTACAGGTGTGGCCGGAGGTGCAGCAAGTTGGGCCCTTGTGGTTATTCCCTCCGCACTGTGCCCAGGCACCGGCGCAAGCCGTAGTTGTTGTGGTTGTGGTTGTCGTCGTCGTGGTCGTAGTGGTAGTGGTCGGACGGTCAAATCTCAGGCACGTGAAGCCTTGAAGTGGCTTTGAGGCCTGAATACCTTCCGGACGGATCCACACCTCACATCTTTGTCCCGAGAACTCCACACCTTTGCACTCTGCCGTGAGCTCACAAATGTCTCTGCACTCCCCCACGTCGGCGGCTGTCTTCACAACGTAGTAGCTGGGAGAGTTGTCGCCGAGGCTGGCCCCTCTGCAGGCGTGGCCGCCTCCTCCTCCGATGGAAATCCAGCCGGGACCGAGTGTTGTCGTTGTGGTCGTTGCCTCAACTCCGAAGCGCAGGCAGGTGAAGCCAGTGAGAGGGATGGAGGCCTGGATCCCCTCCGGCCGAGTCCACAACTCACACCTCCCCTTCGAGAACTCAATCCCATGGCAACCTGAAGTTACGACACACTCGGCCTTACAGGCGTCGACGTCAGCGAGGCTGTTGATGACGGTGTAGTAGCTGCCGGAGTTGTCACCGGGAGCACTCCCTCGGCATGCACGGCTCTCCCCACCATCCACCGGAATCCAAGACTTGACGACGGTTGTGGACGTGGTGGTAGTGGTCACAGCCGGCACGGGATACATGGACTGGGTGGTGCCAATTTCTCCGAAGGCCACGTTGGCAAAGGTCACGGAGCCGTCGGGATGCGCGTTGCGCACACTCCGGGGCAAGCTGTCCGGCTCGCCTGGACAAAGCCCACGCTGCACTCCCGGATCTGTGCATGGCTTGTCTCTGGGGAAGCAAGAGTCCAGCCACATCATGCTGACATCCACATCATCCCAAAGCGAGAAAGCTGCGACATGACCGCGATCAAGTGATTCGCCCATGCCCTTGTTGCCACCCTTCTCCTTGAAATCGTTGATGTCCCCGAAGAGCGCCTTCTTGTCCTCACACATCTGGTCGGTGATGGAATCCGGGTTTCCTGGCAAAATCGGGATGGGAGGACTCTCGAAGACTTTCCCATCCTGGATGTAGAAGCGTCGGATTTCCGACAGGTCACCCTGGTCGGTGCCGTCCGTGGTGAGGAACTGGGTCACCACCGTCATTGGCTTCGAAGAGTCAACGGCGAAGTTCGGCGATGCCCCATAGAATGTCTTGTTGCCCATCCGAAACGGGTTGATGTCGCATCCATCCTTGTCACAAACTCCATCATAGCGCTCACCGCTGTCGTTGTCCCCGCACTCCGTGCCTTCGCACATGTACTGCCCTGGAGTGTCGATGTCGCAGGGGTGCGGAGTGTAGGCGGTGGCCATCTTGTTTGCCTCCCAGATGTCCATCTCGGCACAGCAGGCGCCATAGTGCCCGATGCCCATGTTATTGGAGAAATCCTTGGGGTTGGGCTTCCAGTCTTTGGAGTTGGCCTTGCCGCCAATGAACTTGATGTCGTGTGGGCACTGCGCATCGCAGTAGCCGGTGCCATACTTCGCGCCAGCTGCGTTGCTTCCAACTCCCTTGCCACCATCTGCAGCCATCTCGGAGAAGTACATGGCTCCTTCAATTGCAAAAGACTCTGAAGCACGACCGCTGACTGAGCCTCTGAGCTCTTTAGACTTGCTAGGCCTAGGCTTTCACATTTGTCTCTCGACCCATGGACTGCGGCAATACTTTTCGCAGTCAGCGATGCACCCATCAAGACTTCTGCGAGGTTTCCCTCCAAATGCATTAGAATCATTAAAGAAAACTGTAGCTGTAACAAAAATCATCTCCGTGGCTCCGTTCATCCCGCACTGCACCTGCGAGGAATCCACATCGAGCGCGAACTCCCGGTTCTTCAGCTTGAACATCATATAGGTGTCATCATCCTCCAAGAGGAAGAGCCGTGAACCAACATTCGCACCGGTGACGAAACCAAGGCGCACACCCCCCGGGATGCTCGTGATGCCGTAGGTATTCTGATACTGCTGAGCATCCACGCCTTCAAGAGCACAATTGCGAGCACACGTGTCACCATCCGTACAAATGGAAGTGTCCCATTGATTGCCCGTGTAGCAATTGGTGTAGCCCTGCGTGGTGTGAATCCAGCGCCAGTTGGCATCCAGCACCAGCTTCTTATCTCTGGTGCTGCAGCCCCCTGCCTTCGTGCATTCCTTCACCGATATGGTGGGATTCCCTTCCTGCTTAAGCGTCCCTGCCTGCTGTGCTGAGCTGGCTCGAAGGATTGCAAACAAGACGAAACCTGAGATTGGAGACATGGCAATGCAGAGCTTGTCACCGGTGGCTAGCCGTCTGATCCGATTTGCTCTGGAG